CCTGGCGTGCAGGGCCACATCAGGCTGGGGCACGGCCTGGGGATGCAGCCCCGGCACCTGCTGCAGCTTTGGCAGGGACATGATGGACTGGCTGCTCTCAGCAGGTGAGGGGGGCACCAGGAGGGGCTGCTGCGAGGCCACCGAGGTGGGAGGCAGGTGTGGGGGGCGGATCTTCTCCGCCATCAACTGCTCCTTGATTTTGTTGATCAGGACCAGGTTGTCCAGCTGAGGGGGGAGAAGGCAGAGAGGTGGGTGAGGGCAGAGAAACTGGGACCCTTGGGACCCCCAGCCTCCTCGCCAGTGTTCTCCACATCCATTCATCCTCCCTTGTCCCAAAACCCCAGTGTAGGGGACTTACCTGGCTGGGCATGGTGGGGGGGGGTGGCCAGAAGTACGGGTTGTTGAAGCGAGGCTCCGCCATCCTGGGGAGAGAGGGATGCGGTTATGGGCCATCACTGGCTGCCACATGGCCCCTCCACCCTTCCAGCTTGAATCCCCCAAAACCATCACTCCCCCAAGAAGTAAAACCCAGACTCTGAGCAGGCAGGGAGCAGGTGGGGCGGGGGGGGCAGGACTGGAGAACCCCCCGAGCATCTTCCCAGATGAAAATTCCTGTAGGATTAGGGGGACACCAAGCACCTGCCTGCCTCCAAGACCACAAAACACTGGTGAGCGCACTAGGACGCAATTTGGAAAAGGAGGAAGCTGAAATTTGGGGAAAACCCCCAATCTCCTGAGCTCTGGAAGTATTGCTCCCATCCAGGAAGGGATTAGAGGTGGACGGGATGCTGCCATGGGAGAGGGTGAGCACAGCAGCACACTGAACCCAACAGCAATCCCAGCTGAATCCCCCATCCAAAATATGCCTTCAAAGCCAAGTGAAGTGCCTGTGACACCCAGGAACAGCTCAACAGGAACACCCAGAACCAGCAGGGCTGGGAGATTTATTTAGATGCTTGAAAACATTGGGAAAATTAATTCTATATCCATGTTTGGGTAATGGTAAACAGCTGAAAGGGAACAGCAAGAGGATGGTCCCAGCAGAGCAGCCCACCATGACCAGGCATCACCATCCCAGCAAACCCCATTACAGGGGCATGAGGGTAAGCATCTGTAGGACCCCAAAGGGATGCATGGGACTGGGGCCCCCGGGCGCTCTGGCTCCAAAGCAAACCAGGCCATGGCCAGGATTCCAGGAGAAACTAGAGCGATGCCTCCAGGAAAGTGCATCCCCAGAAGCTTTGGGGCAGGATTTGGGAACAATGAACCTTTCTCTTCTTTCTCCTCCTCCTCCTCACACTCGCTGCCCCAGGTTTCAAACACACTCTGAGCTCCTCAAAGGCAGGTGGGCAGCACCCACAGAAACGGAATCCTGTTCCCACCAGAATGTAACATCCCAACAGCCACCCCAGCCTGAAGAAGCTGTGGGATGGACCATCCCCATTTTGGGGGGAAACCAAGGCAGGGAGAAGGAACCACCTGCCCCTTGCGCTACAGAGCAGCCTGGAACAGGACGAGGTATGTTCCAGGGCATCAAGGAATGGGAGCAATTTCTCATGGCACACCTCAACCCCATGGCCTGTCCAGGACACAACCCAGACATCAGCTTTGGGAATTCCCCTTCCCAGTTTTGAACCACTTGACCACTCCAAGTCACCTCCTGACTGCTTAAGCACCAAATTTTAGGATTTTGAAGTGATAGCAGGGCCGGATCCCAGTCACACAGGCAGAGACAAAGTCCCGCTCCATGCCACAGAACAGGAATTCAGGAATTCACTGGGGATGTTAAATGCACCTTCCCATGCATGGACGCAGCCGCTGCCAGCTATTTTGTGTAATTATATATGTACCCACAGGCCGCCCACAGCATGCATTTACCCACTGGCTACGTATGTGTATGTGTACGTGTGTGTGTGTGTGTACACACATGTATAAGATCTCTTGGGATGATGGGCACAGGATGAAGGACACTAGTGCCAGCGTAAGGGGCTGGACACCAGGAACCAGGGACAGAAGTGGAACTGGCAGTAGGGTTGTAAAGAGGCAGGCAGTGAGCAGGAGCTCAGGCAGGAAGCCTCTGAGCCCCCGTGGCATGACCAAGCACCCCTGCACCAATCCCCCCACCCCAGAGCAACCGTGGGAAAACAGGAAACCGGAGCTATGATTAGAAAAGGGTTTTTTGGAGCTGATCCCCCATCTCAGCAGGTGCCCTGTGACCTCTGTCCTTCCCATCCATCCATCTGTCCATCCTTCTCCCTGTCTCGATATCATGCCGGGCTCCAGCGGAGCCAGCAGCAGCACCCACACAGATCAAAGCCCCCGAACCATCGCCAGGACACGGCACCAACCCCTACACCAGTCCCAGGATCCTTCCTGCAAAGCTGGAGGGGGCTGAAAAGGCACGAAAGGTATTTTGGGGAGAAAAGCATAAATATCACATGTTTCCCCACCCCCACCCAAGCAGGGCTTACTAAAGAAATGAGAAATTATTTGTAAAACCACCACACTCGGAGCTGGATGAACAAGAGGGAAGAAATGGTCAGTGTTGCCAAAATAATTATAAAAATCCCTGTTCCTGTCCCGATTTAATGTTACAAATTGTGCGGTGTTTCGTCAGAAACGGCGTCCCTTTCTCTGGGGCTAGGAAACGGAGTGGGAGGGGGAAGAAAGCAGATGGAAAAAAAAAATATATATATATAAAAACTCCCTTTTCTCTATTCTCAGCTAACTATGAAAAATGGAAGCTGACATGCAGCAAAGGTGGAAAAAAAAGAAAATCCATTAAAATGGAAATTATGAAAGGTAGGGAATGCTGCGGCACGTCTCCCCCCAGCTCTGCAGGACACAGGGGGTAGATAGGGCTCCCTGTGCCCCCCAGCTTTTGGCTTGGCAGGGGGAACCCCTCTTGGGTAACATCTCCAGTGGCATGGGATCCTATGGGCCAAACCATGGTGGGAAGAGCCTCTGACATCCTCCACAGGGACCAGATTTGGCTGCTGAGGGGTTGTCAGGGTCTATCCCCAGGGACAAAGTGGGTGCCCAAAGCATGGTGGAGACCCAAGCAGCCCAGCCAGAGGAGAGGAATGTGAGAAGAGCAAGCAGGAAGATGCACAGAGCCCCAAAACCATGGGCTGAACACCTCAAATTCCCAGAACAGCACAGTACCCGGCATCATCGCTCAGCCAGGCCAAGGGGGGAAGCAGCAGCACCCTAAAAAGAGACCAGAAGCCTCCTCGCCTCCACACCCATGGGGAAGGAAGAGCAGGAGAAGCTGGCAAGCCAGGGCTGGGGGTGGCAAGGGGAGAGCGGGGGTGGTGGCAGCGAGGGGGCGGCAGTGTCAGGGCCGTCAGGTTCGGCGGTGATTGGTACTCACAGGGTGGCCTCTGGAGCCAGGTGGGCGCAGCTGCCTGGGGAGACGTGTCGCTGAGGCTCCAGATTGATGGGAGGTAGATGATGGCACGGGTGGGCACGAGCTCACTAGAGCCTTCCAACTTCCTACCCAACTGCCGCTAAGTCAAGCTACAGTTCTCTAGGGAACGCCTCTACCTTGGCAGCCCTCTCTGTCTCGCCTTCGCTGAAATAAAAAGAAACAAGAGATTTCTTTTCACGGCACAGCCGAGAGAAAAGGGGCAGCTCCCAGGGACCGGCGAGCGACCACCGACCTGGTACAGCCTGAAAGTGGGGGGTCTGGGAGGCGAAGGGAGGGATTTGGGGTGACCAGAGCAGCACTTGGTAGCTAAACATGTCCTCAACCAAGCAAGACATCAAGTTTGGTGTCCCCAAGTATCCCAGCAAGAGCACCAGGGCAGAGCTCCCACCCTCCATGCCAAGCAGCGAGCGCAGGAAAGCCGGAGGTGGCCAGAGACGGCGCACTGGGGAGAACCAAGCTGGGGGATTGATGCGCATTCCCCCACCCAAATCTCAGCACGTCCTTCCCAACACAGGTCAGGCCAGGGATGGTGACACTGGCCTGGGCATGTCCCTGTGCCAGGGAACCCAGCTCTGCCTTGCACCATGCCTCAGTTTCCCCCTCAAAACACAGGGCCCCTGTCCCCTCTTAAGAACAGGTTTCCCTGGGGTTCACCTGGAGCAGGAGAAGTTTTGGAGGGAAAGCAAATGCTCATCCACAAAACCTGCGTCCCAAAGTCACCAGGGTAGGAACTGGCATCTAGCACTCTCCTCAGGGAATGCACATCTCTCCCTAACCAAATTGTCCTCATCCAGGAGGGATTCACCCCAAGGCAGAGGGGGCAGAAGGCAGGCATGGCTGCGAAGCAGGAACGCCGGGCGAGCCCCCTGTGGCTCGAGGAGGGGGTGGCCCGCACACCACAAGAATTCACCCAAGATGGAACCAATTAAACCCCCGGCTTCCGCCCCCCGAAGGGCCCTGGGCTGGGGCTTCTCCTTCTACATTTCCAGCAAAACCAACCCAAAATGAGCCCCCGGCCTGGACCAAGGGTCCCTGTGCAGGAAAAGGGATGCACGGGGCAGGGTGAGAAGCCAAGAACCAGTGGCAAGTGGGAGGGAAGGCAAAGCTGTGCTGGAGACCCCCACGGGGTCCCCAGCTGTGGGGTGGAGGAGGGGGGACCAGGGTGGCAATGCTCCCAAAAGATGGGGGCCAAGGCAGTGTGACCCCAAATCCACAGTTTGGGTCCAGTGACCCAGAAAAGGGGACCCAGGGACACCCCACAGGGAGACCCAGAGCCCATATGGTGACACACCAGACACAGGGGACACATGCCCCACAAAACACTCCCCACCCTGGGAAGTCCTGCTCCTGCAGACCCCAAATACAACCCCCCTCCATAAGAGACCAGCAAGGCACCCTGCAAGGCAAAGGCAGCACCACAATCCAGCCTGGCAGCAACTGCCCACCCCTATCAGCACAGGGGTCACCTATGGGTGACAGCACGCAGGGAAACCGAGGCACAGGCAGGGGATTGCCCCGAGGAGAGAGTAAGAGCACTGGATCCAACATGCACTTGTGACATTGCGCCCAATGACCAGAAATCCACAATTTTAAGGGAAAAAGCGGAAGGTGGGGGGGTTGAGGGTGAACGTTACTATTTTATGCATATAAAGGCACATTTCTTAAAAGGGAAATATCAAGAGGTCACACATACGCCGGGAGCAGGGTCCCCTCCCTGCACAGGGGGCAGGTAAGGAGTCCCTCACACCCCCAAAATACCCAAAAAAAATACCATGCCCCCGCTTATATAGAAATACATATGTCCACATATAATATCTGGATTCCAGTGTGCATATATATATTATTTTTATAAGCACACATATAATGACATGCATGCACATTGTTACGTTAGCTGCTATTTTAAGATGTAAATGTATAAAAAAGCAGTGATTTTTTTCTCCCTGTGATCCCCTCGATCCAGCCATCATGCCCACCTCTGCGAGTACTGGCGTTGCTTCCCCTTATCCGCGTCCATCTCCAGCTCTAGCTGAGACCGGGTGCTGCACGTGGGGCGTTTTTCTACGGGGGGACAAGGAGGAGGACAACTTCACACACCCCGAACCCCCCGCCAGCCCCCGGCGCGCGAGATCCCACAGCGGAGGAACAAAAGCGAAGCGGCTCCGACCTACCCGACCCGTGAGAACGTGGGGTTTTGCCTGAAAATAGAGAGAAAACAACAAAAAAAAAGGAAAATAAAAAAGAATAATAATAATAATAAAAAAAAAAAATAGTGGGTTTTTTTATAGCCCTGCTCTCCCCCAAGCTGTTGGGAAAGCTGAGGGATGGGGAGCTGGCTGGAAAATTGGGGGTGAAATCCATCCCCTCACCCTAGACCCTCCGCCTCTTGGCAAATCGCACACCATGAGGGACTTAAAAAACTTTTTTACCTCTCTGCTAAAATATCACTTTATAATCTCAAAGGCCTCGGGCTTGAAGCCGCTTTCACCTGCTCCATCCTCCCTGGGTTAAAAAACCCGACTGCTATCCGAAGGACCGCAGGCTTGGGGGGGAAAAATAACCCAACAAGGAGCATCCTCCAACCTTGAAGGGAAAAAAAGAAATCAAAATTATCAGATTCATGATTCCTGGGTTCAAATCCATCACTGTGGCCACGCCGGCTCTAAGCTGCCCCCCCAGGCCCCCTGACGTGGCCGGGAGATTATGAATGTATAAATAGTATATTGCTAAATATATGTTGGAGAGGGACAGACAGACCTCTGGGACACAGCCACAGAAATTTGGGTCCCTCGCTAAAGCTGCCGCATTCCTGCCAAAAATGCCATGAAAAAAAATATCTCCCCCCTCCATTAGACCTTCCAGCCAGCGAGACCACTTTTCTAGACAAAACCAGTTAATGCAGAAAACACTGAAGAAAAGGAGGAAAAGAGGAAGGAGAAAAGGAATTAAAATGGTGAAAATTATAATAATGGTGATTATGAGGATGGTAATGATAATATTCAGTCCCTGCACTGCTTCTGTCACCCCCTGTAAGCAAAAAAAGTCAGAAAAAAGCCAAGAATGCATAAAAAAAAAGCAACCCCCCCTCCAAAACATGCAACATCCACAAAAATAGGTACGTTCCGCTGCAATTAACTTTTCCATTAGACCATCCAGAGGGAAAGAAAAAGGGAAAATTCTGGTAAATGGGTATTTTCCTCGATGTCCCCCCCCCTTTCCCCCCTTTTTTCTCTTTTCCTTCTTCTTCCTGCGTGGAGTGGGGGGGTGGCGGAATAATGATGGTAATAATGAAAAAAAAGAGGTGGAAAAAGGCGAAGTTTGGTTAAGTGAAGTTGAAATTCTCAACCTGGGAGGGGATTTGCGGG